GCGCAGAATAAAAAATATGTTACATCAAACGATGCGTTCTCGACAACTTCACTTCGCGCGCCGGTGTCCTTTTCTTACCGCGCCTCTTTTTCGCGCGCATCTTTTTTTTTTTTTTTTGAATTTTTTCCCAATTGCCCCGACACTTTTTCCTCGCGCTCTTCCCTCGTCGTAAGGATATCCGATAAAGAGAACGATTACAACGAGAAACTACTACTTTGTGACGCGCCGCGGAGGCCGATTAATCGTCGGTGAATCTGCCGCGGTACCGTTGCACGAAATCTGTGTAATTTGTAAACTTTTTTACCGGCCCGCAAATGTGTAATTTGATTCGGTTTTATAATCTCCCGTCTTGCCAGAATTGAACGACAAGCCACACACTGCCGGGAGACCGATCGAGTCGGCGAGTATTTATTATTACATCCCGCTCCGCGCCTAGGAAGGGGAGAATATAAACGCAACGATCTCTAGACCAATCGGTTTTCGCGAGAGTCAGAGAAATTGAGATCACTTTTTGCGAAAATTAAAAACTGAGTGATAATACATCGAATAAAAAAAAAAGCTCTTCCAAAAAAAACAACAAAAAAACGTGTCGCGCTCTCGTCGGGGAATATAATGTTTATTTACTCAGCTCTTTCAAACGCAGAGTCCGGTAATGTCGCAATTTATCGGCGAAATAATAAATTTACCAATAAAATAATAAATACATTGGTGCAATTTTTTATCGATAAAACAGATATGTTTATTTAAAAAAAAAAAAAAAAACGACCGTGTATTACGACCGACAGTGACGAGAGAGCGGCGGATCGCGTCGCGTTATCGTTTTATTACCCCTCTCCGACGATGTCGGCGATAAAAACCGAACGTCGTCGAACGAGCGGCACGGCCGAGCTGATTAGTCATTAACCGGTAAAATAATTTTAACGAAGCAACGTTCGCGTTTAGATTTGTTCCTTTGCTTAATTTCGTGCGCGCTCACCGCGCTAATGAAGCAGCAGCGCGTTGACCGGGACCGGCGCGTCTTAACGACGACCATCCTCTCTCGCTCCTTCCGCGACGCCGTGCGAACGACGTAACGGAATATAAATCAGCCGCACGAAAAAAAGAAAAAAAAAGAAAGAGAGGATTCTTTTATTAAGACATTTAAAGTAACGGAGATTGCGGGATTTCCACGACACGCGACGCTCCTCCGATTTGCGGAACAAAATTAACCCCTTCGCGCATTGATATATATTGTAGGCGCATCCCAACGCGACAGATATACACGCGCGATAACTGGTTTTAATCGCCGGTTTTGTGTTTTGCTCCTGTGTTTTTGTCCGCGCGCAAGCGCCGTCGCGTCGCGAGCGCGATCGAGAGCGCCGCTACGTAAAAATATCAATCCGCCCTATTCTACAACCGTTCGGCGAATATCGTTATTAGAGGTTTTAACAATCCACCTTGCGGAATATGTCGCGTAATCGCGTCCTTCGAAACTCTCCTCTCTCTTTCGTCTTTTACTCCTTTTACTCTCCTTGCCGCGTTCGCCGTCAATTATCGCGAAAAGCGCGTAGAGCCGTTAAAGTTACTTTAACGATTGTCTCTAAACGGCTCGTAAAACACACGTCAACGAATTTTGCGAAACTCGAGATTTATCATCCGTAGGATGATGCGCGTCGCACGTGGAAAATTTATCGCAAAGAACTTTCTCGAAGCCGAGAGAATTTCTTTGTTCCCTTCCCCCTTCTTTTCACGAGCCTTTGTCGCGCGCACCGAAATCTTCAAGCCGATAAAAGTTTTCAGAGGCGGTTTTCAAAAAAAAAAAAAATCCCCGTTTGGAATCATCAATAATGAGAGGCAATACCTCTTTGCACTTTGGAGGAAATTCTTATCAAATATGAACGTTTCCTCCGGAAAATGTGATATCAATTTGTCAACAGCTTTCCGCCCACCTATTTCAGTGAATTCGAGAAAATCCTCACAAAGAGTTTTCGATATAATGCAAAATCTTAGAAAGGATTTTACGATCCTCACACACAGGCAAATTCCGTTTCTCTCGGCAAATCAGTTTTGATAAAGAAAAAAAAAGAAAGAGACTGATATAGAAATAAAAAAAAAAAAAATTACCATATGATTTATTTATTGCAGTCTGAGCACGCGCGTGTAGTAGGTTTTCCTGTTTCACTTTAGAGCACACGTTTACGGATCATTTTTGTCAAAGAGGACCGTCGAAAGACGCACACAAATGAGCGACCATAAAATCATTCTCTTCGTTTTCGTAAACGACGAGAAAATACTAGGCACTTTCTAAACATTTGGGCAAATTTATTACCGTTTCAACGTTAATGCCGAACTGGAATACAGAAAGCTTTTCCAAAAAATCGAAACACATGTAACTTTCGAACGTTAAACGCACAAGATCTTAAACGTAATCATTAACGCGTCATTTAACGCCAGAACAATCAGAGTTGAACGTGTATATTTTTAATTTTGCTGCGTTCGAAAAATCGCTTCATTTGTTTAAACTGTTTTGATTTTTTTCGTATTTGAATAATTAATTAACAAAACAAAGCAACTACAAAAATTTTTAATATATTCCACACTTTTTCTTGTTAAAAATTTCAAATCACACTCGGAACACTTCTTGCGAGTAAATCGCATTTCTGAATTTCAGTTTTTGACGGGTCTGGTCTTGTTCTGGTGTTAAACCAAATGCAAATGCAAAACGGCCGTGCGTTAGTAGAGAATGTCAATCACATTTCTAAGTGCGCAAGATCGTAAAATCGTGCAACGTGAAAATTCGTGTGTCGTAACCCGAGATATTACTTTCAAATCAATGCGCGCTAGCGACACAAGTTAATATCCGCATCGAATTCCATATTCGATGTGAACGATCAGGTGTTTTACTCTTTTTTTTTTTTTTTTTTTGTTACCGGGTGTGCGGTTTGTCGAGTTTTAGAATCGGACGTATTCACCGTAAAAAAAGAAAAAAAATATCGAGAGAGCGGAGGCATTACCTGAAGAAAGGAAAGAAAGATAGGAAAACTGATTTGTTAATAAACGACAAGAGAGACGAGCTTACGGTAGCCACATCGCATTTGGTTGGTTAAATGAAACGTAAAACGACTCCGGTGACAAAAAACGATAGATCACCTATTCTCTTGCAAACACTTTAGCAGTAGTATTTTTGTTTTATTCAAATTCCATCTCCAAGCGCGTATCGCTCACATATCTATTAGAAGATTTTAAAAAGTAGCTGCTACTGTTTGCGACCATTGTTCGTAAAAGAGTGGCAGTGTGGAAGCGTTCTAGTGTGACGAAAAAAAAAACATGAAACGCTAAAAAGAACAAATTGGCACGAAAGCGTCGCATTGTGAAAGTCGAAAGGGTTGAACGTTTCCGATATTGTAAATTTTAACCTCTTTGAAAACGATTTGATATTTATTTCGATCTTTTCAAAAAACAACTTTTACGACAATACTTTTCACGCTTTTGGAATTTCAATCGTCTCGAGAAAGGAGAAGAAAATGGATCTGCCTGAATCTGCTGTGTTTAAAAAAAAAAAAAAAACAAAACAAACAGCATACATTTCGTTCAAGATTCTTGCACGTTCGTGTATAATTTACATAATTCCGCGTTTCATGTACAATTATACAATTTTTTCCTCCATTTTTATAAGAGCGAACTTTTCGCCGGTATTTCGAATTCAAGTAGAAGCAGTTGCTTGCGTGCAAAATTGTCGAATTACATCGCGAGGTGTTGCTAGAACGGACTTGTTACACATACTTTACGCAATCAATGAAACTAGTATTATATTTATTAATCAGGAATATTAATAAATACTTACGGTACGCAATAAAATGTTTTATGTCAAGTGTCTTAATATAATAATAATAATAATAATAATAGTAATAATAATAATAATAATAATAATAATAATAATAATAATAATTTCGCGTCTTTGATAAAGTCACGTTATTATTGCTGTTATTATTATTTTCGCAGAAGTTTCTAAAACTATATTGACGCGGCCTCTTCAACGCACAATCAGCAGTACCGTTTACTTACTGTCAATTACTGTCGATATTCCTGCCGCCACGCGGCATACTGATGTATCCGAGAGAATCAAGAAATCCGGAATCAACATGTATTTGTCAATACATATCCTACATCAATCCGTCAACATTAACCGCACGTACCGTCAATGATACTGTCAAATTATTTGTCACTAGCCCAACACAGGCGCGCGCTACGCGCACGCTATTATTGTTTTTATTTTAACGTGTAGTGTCAGTGAACACAACCTGTCACCACAATGACAGCTAGTATATATGTCTAAAATTATCATATAATACACATTAGAGAGATGATACAAAATTACCATATAATACAGATTAGAGAGATGTCGGAAACAACAATGAAAATCAAGATAAAAAAAATAGTGAGAGGGAGGAGTGGAAAAACAACTGACTAAAATCACGTGACTTTACTTTAGTCACGTTTTTAAAGTCACGTGTTGTTTTTCCTCCCCTCAGTGTCACGTGACTTTAGTTTAGTTATGTTTTTAAAGACACGCGCAACGAAGTCGCGCTCGAACGCCTCTTAATACCGTGCCTCTTGATTCGTACGACATAAATCGAGAAACACATCCGAGAAACACGTCCAATCAGCGTCGAGATAAAAGCGGCAACAATCAAGATCGATAGAATCGAATGTGATTATTTGCACACGCTTTTTCTGGTTGGATCGACGATATCACTGGCCGCGCAAGATCTACAGTTGACGAGCCAAGATAACGAACAAATAGAAGTCAAAACACATCCGGTGACGAGTAACAACCGACGGGGGACTAAAACCGAGTTAGCGATAAATTAAAAATCTATTCATTATACACAACGGGGCAAACGGGGTAAGGATCTAATACGTTGCGTGTCAAATTCGAACTCTCGCTCGCGAGAGTCACGGATGAGTTTTCGCTTGAATGTAACTTTCCTAATCTCCCAATCGACTTGATTTATACTCACCTGCGGACACATCTTGCACTGGTACTTTCGCGGCGGATGCGAATGCGGTCCGGCGAGATGTGAGTTCAGATGAGACGGATGGGATGGTTTGACGGTGAGGGGCTGAGGAACCACGAGCAGGCTCGTGGGTGGACTGCCGCTGCTGGATCCGCCCGCGCCACGGTATTGCTCGTCACCTGCGAATCAATTACAGAAGTTTTGTGTGTAAATTTGCCTTGAGCGCGCGCGTCGATAATTGTTATCGTACGGCCGTGTGGCAAAGCAGCCGCCATGTAGTGGTAAACATATCGAAAGCGGTGTTGTTTATGTACGTTTTAATTCGTTGCGAGATAAAACAAGACGTTATGCTATTTTTTGAGCTAACTAACGAATCAACTCGCGGCCTGATTGAAATCCCGCGCGCGCGTCCACCGCTCCTTAATTATCTCTTCAATAAGTTCTTCGATTTAATTTGCTCTCCGTGCGCGGTTTCTCTCTCGTTATAACCTACTTCGATCATAAAAGCGCAGGTCCGCGGTGCGTTAATGACCGGCAATCGTCAGCATTTTCCAGAGATATGCGTTATTGAGCGTTAATAATATGTTAAAAGCGCTCTGATAGCGTGTGCGTTATTACATCCACACGCATGTTATAAACGTCGCTTTGGGTTTTTTCCTCGACATGTGTCGCGCAATGTTTGTCTCACAATATAAATCACACAATATATCTGGTTGCGTAATATATAGATATATATAATATACGTGTGCAACACGTGTCTAATTTATATTATTATCACTTACGAGATCCCAACCCGATATATGTAAATACACCGAATCTAATTGCGCGCGGCAACTAAATCCATCTCGGCAAATTGTTGTAATTCACTCGTCGTGTGTAACTTATCGCCGATCGTTTACAATGTTCGCTCGACGCTAAACGCTACTTACACGACAATAAAGACTAGCGCGTGACACACAGACCGAAGTGTATACAACACACACATACGGATTATTATTAATACGCGCGTTCAAACCGGGCACAGGTGAGCGCGAACTAACACCAGTACGCGCGAGACTTGCTTATATCGAGAAAGAAGCACACGGACGGTCGAGAGCGGTCCGACCGCTGATGCAACGCGAGGGGGCAAGGATCCCGCGGGTTGCAAGGACGAGTGATCCTGCGTTACGAGTGTCTGTCATTATTAAAGCGGAGTTCTCAATATATCGAGATAACCGCCGCTCGACCGACAGGTTGGCCGACGTGCGTCGTCGTCGTCGTTTCGCCGCGCATGTATTCCAGCCGCTACTTCGCTACGCGCGCGTCGATCGAGGGGCATTCCGCTCGACGACGGCACCTCGCGGTCTTCTTTCGGGATAAATTCGAGAGAAATTACAACTTTTTCGTCGGGCGATTTATTTGCCGCCGCCTACGAATGCTGACAGAAAGAGAGAAAGAAAGATATCGAAAAAACACGATCGGAAGAAATTTTACTCCAAGCCACTTTGCGCGCGAATCTAGTTTTTCGAAAATACGTTCGCACGATCGTCTTCGGTTGTTTAAAGAACAATTTTAGGATTTTTGTGAGAAATTAACATCGCCGGTGCGCGACGTCCTTTTTCACGCCGACATCCTTTTCTTGCGCGGAATCGATTTTGACGCGCGCAAGAAAGTCGGCGGTGGCGGCGGCGCAAAAAAAAAAAAAAAACGAAGCGTTAACCGACGTTTAAATGGAGGAAGTTATAATAAATTATGTACTTGATCTGTTTCCTGCCGATATATAATGGAAAAGTTTATCGCTCGACCTTGAGAGAACGGCGAGTAAAAAGAGCGCAACCTCTCGCTCGGAAACTCGCGCGCGATCGCGAAGCGAAGGGGGAAGGGGGATTTATGATTCAACGGTTCGATACGAACAGCAGGTATTACAGTATCCGATCGTACGTTCCGATTTGCAAATAGGGATCGCGCGCGCGCATAAAAAAAAAATCGCGGATTTTATTTTCCCCCTTTAGTTTTGCCGCGACGCGAGAAACGTTGCAAAAATAGAACGAGAGAGGAAGGAAAAACCTCCTCCTAAGCGATTCGCATCGGCATTAATGTGACTTCATAATTTATTAATAGCGTCTTTATTGCTTTTCACGCGCTTGCGCGCATCCTCGCTCGTTAGGTTCGCTCGTTTTCAGTTCAGAAGCGAGGACCCTTCTCTCTCTCTCTTTCTCTTTCTCACACACACAAGGACGGGGGCATCCTGTGACTTTTACGCGACAACGCGAGCGCGCGTGGGCCGAGAAACTCCGTTTCTCTAAAGCCGCCTACGCGGCTCTATCTCTCGATTTCGCCGAGAGAAGAAGGCTGATGTGTGTAAAACACGTTGAACACGTAAAGAAAACACGCGGGCGCGCGAACATACGTATCTGTGATATTATATTACGTGCAAAAACCCTCGGCGATGACGATTTGCGCGCAAACTTTTCAAGCAGATAAAGCGATAATTAAGCCTCGCGCGCGCGTTGCGGTGCGCCGGTTATAATCCGTCTATATTTACATCATGGATGAAGGCGCAGTTTGCATAATTTACGCCTTCGTGCTATACTTATTCGCGACGATCAATATTGATATTAATTAATGATAATCCCCGAATCGATGGCTATTTGTAATTTAGAACGAATCTGACACGGGGGGTATTTATTTTAGACTCTCTCCGGATGTGTGCGGATGGATGTGGCAGATTGATTTGCGCAGCGCGAACGTGCGCGCGCGACGTCCTCGCGCCACGTTACACGAATCATCTTTTCTGCGTTTTGCGAAAGAAATTGTCTGTCGCGCCGTTTTTATTTTATTTTCTCTTTGTTTCTCGGTTTATGTTTCGAATGCTTTTTCAACGCCCACGATGGTTAATTCCTCAGATCGTGCGATCAACCGACGTTCGCGAGACGCGACAATTTGCCGAACGATATCTCGTCGCGACACTGCGAGAATCGCGCGACCGATATTTAATATTATAATAACGAGCAAGCGCAGCATCAAAGTTCAAGGCGCGGATACACTTAATGCGATGCAACAATTCCATAACTCTTCACTCGCCGATTATGTAACACTCGAGAGTTTATCGAATTAGCGACACATTTGCGGCTCCGTCGCCCGGTAAACGCGCCTATCGCCAATTCATTTCCGCGCGACGTCATTTCGTTTCCGCCTAATTACCTGGACGCGGTGTTACGCAATCGACGATGAACGCACACCTGTTAATGTCGGACGATGTAAAAAAAACGAACGTCGTTTCTTGAGAAAGTTTGGCGCAAACTTCATTCGCGACGTTGGTTTTTTTTTTTTTTTTTTTTTTTTTTTTGTCTAAAAAAGTCACGTTCTCAATTTTCCCGAATTCCTTCAACCAGTCAGGGTTATTCAAAACGTATGATTAAATTTCGCGCGACGACTCTTTTGCTTTCGTCACGCGTCGTTTTATCGCGCGAGAAAGAGACGCGCGCGTGAGTTANTTTTTTTTTTTTTTTTTTTGTCTGTCTCTATGAACGTCACGATCTCAACTTTCCCGAAATCCTTCAACCAGTCAGGTTTATTCAAAACGTATGATTAAATTTCGCGCGACGACTCTTTTGCTTTCGTCACGCGTCGTTTTATCGCGCGAGAAAGAGACGCGCGCGTGAGTTATTTATGAACCGCCGCCGGTCGCTAAAATTTATATCTTTTGCGTTAATTACTTTCCTAGAGATGAACGTAAAAAGAAATAAAAAAAAAAAAAACGAAAGCTTCGAATATGCGCGTCACATTTAAACCGCGTCGCCGCGGATAATTGCAGAGATCGCGTTAGATCTCGGGATCGACTTCCCGGTATGACTTCTTCTTCTTTTTTTTTTTTTTTTGCGCGCGCGATTCGCGTCTTTTCTCGCGAAAAATAACTCGATCGTTTTCGCCTAACCGATCTCGCGCGAAGATTTATGTGCACGTCGTACATGCCGCGCGCCGTGTCGCACGTAACGTTCTCCTCGCGGCACAGCTAATTGATCTTTCCAGCGCGCTTGAACCCGATAATTACCATTTACATACCGCGATCTCGTACGAGCGAGAGTCACGGCGCTCTTCGGCCCCGTGCAACATCGAAGAGACGAAGAGGCCGTGTCTCGACATCCGCGCGGCACACATCGGAAAAAATGCGCGGAACTCGCGCGTAGGCCTCGACGGAATAAAACGCGTTTTCTGTTTGCGGACGCCGGACGGAGAAACAAGCGCGTGAAAATAAGGATTGAAAAATGTAAATAGAACTGGACGCGAACCGAAGGCTGGTGAGTTTGCGGCAGCGCGCGCGCGACTCCTAGAAAATTAATCCCCCTCTTCACGTAATCCATATAATCTTACGCGATCTCCTTTGCAACGTCCCGCTAGACTAGAAGTGATCTCGTTCCTATGCAAACGTGCGCCGCGATGATTGTTGTTTTTTTTTTTTTTTTTGTTTACGTCACGTCTGTTTTTCATTCTTTTGCGTATTATTGTGACGCCGAGGAATAATAAAAAAAACAACGCGATGCTAATCTAAATTACCGTTAAGTTTAAAAAAAAAAGAGATAGATAGAACGAAGACTTATGGACTTCTCCGAGAATTTTCCGATGACGGCTCGACGGTATTTGTCAACGGTAAAACGATAGGGTAACGGGGAATAGGTCAAAATATTTTTCCCGATCGACATCACACAGCGGCAAATAATGATATATTTTCGTGGGACGTTCGCGCGCGCGTTGAATTTCACATGAGCGTATTTTCACGCACGTGGTCCCGGAGAGAGCTCGGCTGGCAAAACACACATCGGCGCGCTTAAAAACCGTCTCCCGTTTCTATCCTCCTCTCTGCGCTGGCTGTTGTAACTACGGGTGTTGGTCGCCGCCGCGGACAACACACGCGTGCGCAACGCGCGCGCGCGCGCTCGTGACGAGAGCGTTAATGACGTATGACGCACCACAAGCACCTCCCCGGGCGTTATTTGCGGCGCGTAATTTTAATGGAATTATCGCGTCTCTTTCGGCACCTACGCGAATAAAAAATGCGCTTTTCCTCGGCGCGTCGCGCGTTTGACCATTTTCGGATTAACTTGACTAACGCGGCGCTCGCCTGCGGAATCTATTTTTTTTCTCTTTGCGACGCGTGCATCGCAACTGGTTTTCCTCGAATTTTGTTGCATTTGATGCG